TCCAAAACGAAAACACCAACACCAAAAGCACGAATTTCAAAGTCAACGACTCCAAAACCCAAAGACACTCGTGCCAAGAAAGTGACTTTTGGTTTTGATAAAATTGGAGGAATAGACAAAATAATAACAGAAATCAGAGAATTAGTTGAGTATCCTTTATTACATCCAGAGATATACAAACACGTTGGTATAGACCCACCAAGAGGTATTTTATTACATGGGCCACCTGGGTGTGGTAAAACCCTTTTAGCCGAAGCGATAGCCGGGGAAGTTGGTGTTCCCTTCATAGAGGTATCAGCGACTGAATTAGTGGGTGGGGTATCTGGTGAGAGTGAGCAAAAGATTCGTGACTTATTTGATGATGCGGCGAAGTTAGCGCCGTCCCTCTTATTTATTGATGAGATTGACTCGATCGTACAAAAACGGGACAACTCGCAACGTGAAATGGAGAAGCGAATAGTCGCGCAACTTCTCTCTTCGATGGACAAATTGTCGACAGCGGATAAGCCAGTGATGGTCATTGGTGCGACGAATCGACCCGATTCTTTAGACCCTGCTCTTCGAAGAGCTGGGCGATTTGATAAGGAAATAGCATTAGGTATTCCAAGTGAAGAACAACGTCGACAGATCGTGACAAAAATGATTGAAAACCTCAAAATAGCTGAGGACGTTCAAATTCTTCCACTCGCAAAGTCTACAGCGGGGTATGTTGGAGCAGACATCGCAGCATTAACTAAAGAGGCTGCCGTGCATGCCGTCCATCGTGTCTTCAATTCCAAAGTCGGGAGTGAATCGGTGAAGAGTCCAACACCAAACCCTAATTTAGCAGATGGTATCGAACAGCGACAAGCCGTCTGCGATTACTTAAAAGAGCATAAAGAGCCTCTTTCTGTCACTGAGTTGGCACAACTGAATATCAAACAAGACGATTTCGAATATGCATTAACAGTAGTACAACCTTCTGCTTTAAGAGAAGGGTTTACTACTATACCCGATGTAACGTGGGACTCTATTGGAGGGATGGAGAACGTCCATGACGAGTTAATTCGACTTGTTGTTGGTGCTGTACAATACCCCGAGTTGTATAAGAAATTTGGTATTTACACGCCGGCGGGGATTCTGTTATATGGACCGCCCGGGTGTGGTAAAACGTTCTGTGCTAAAGCACTTGCAAATGAGTGTAAAGCAAACTTCATTGCTGTGAAAGGCCCACAGTTACTCAATAAGTACGTTGGCGAAGCAGAAAGAGCTGTGCGACAACTCTTCGAGAGAGCAAAGAACTCGGCGCCGTGCGTCATCTTCTTCGATGAACTCGATGCGCTCGCGCCAAAACGAAGTGAAGACTCGAGTGGGGTCTCGCGGATTGTGAATCAGTTACTGACTGAATTGGATGGGATGGACGTGCGGAAAGACGTGTTTGTTGTTGCAGCGACGAATCGCCCGGATTGCATTGATCCCGCCATGTTACGTCCAGGAAGACTTGACAGACTGATTTCAGTCGAGTTGCCCAATGAAAACGCACGTGTCGATATCTTAAAAACGATTTGTAGAAGACAAAAAGTCCCTCTTGAAAAAGACATCAACTTGGAAACAATTGCAAGAGACAAAAAAGTCGAAGGGTTTTCAGGAGCGGATTTGGCTGCTTTGGTCAAAGAAGCAAGTGTAAGAGCTTTGAACGACGTCGTGAAAAATGTCGGATATGAAGAGGCTCAAAAAGTCGGAGGAGAGGTCCAAAGAAAGCACTTCGATGAGGCGCTCCTCAAAATTCGAAGAAGTGTAAGTAAAGAAGATGAACTCGAATACCTCAAGATCAAGCAAAACATTTTGTCACAAAATTGATTGAGTATTTTGTTATTCATTTTTATTTTTATATAACAAAATGTTAACATTTTATACTATAAATATAGTAGTTTATGAATTATAATACTTTATTAGTAATAATTAAACTTGAGAAATAAGTTTAAATATTTCTTTTTATTTCTTCTTTTTTAATTAAATAACATAATTAAACTTTGAATTAGTTGACTAAAATAAAACTCATATTTTATTAGAGTTAACTAATAAAATATGAGTTCGTTTTTTATAATTTTTAAAGTCTTTATTTTGTTAAAAATTTCTTGAGTTTTGTATTTTATTTCAACAAAATGATAAATTAAAAGGTTTTATAAATTATATCTATATTATATTAATAAATAGTAACACATATCTAATTTGATAATAACTTATTAAGTAAAAATATTATTAATAATTAAACATATTAATCATCTTATCAATAAAACAGTTAAATATGAAAAGAAGAAAGATTTAACAAGGTAAAAATATAAACATAAATATTATTCATCACAAAGATTGAAAACGGCAGAATGCACAATTACAAGAGAGGCTAAAACACAAAGAATTTAAGACAATTAGACATAAACATTTTGTTGAGGTTGGTATTGGAAATGGTTCTGTTGTACAAATGGTTGTACAGGTGGTTGAAAGAAGGGGTCATTATCAACCGGCTTAAACATGAGCTGGTACGTGGGTGAAGTTCTTCCTTCTTGTTCTTTCTTGAGAGGGGGGTAACTCCCCGCACTACCACTCTCCTGTACAAACTCCTTCTTGACGCCGAAATCCATCGGCATGCACAACTCCTTCATTCTTTCGTTGGTAATATCGTAGATTTTGTCAAAGATCGGCTCAGAGCATTCTACACGAGTATCGTACATCCCCTGGATATCTTCCTTCTTTGGGAAGCTCTGGATATCTTTAAAGTAGTTCTGCTGTGGAAGCATGACGGGGTCAAACTGCATTTGTTCGGGTTGTTCCACAATCTCTTTAGTCTTCGAATTTTTGAAATACGGCACTTGCTGCAAAATGTTCATGATAACCTCGTTCTTGACTTCGATTAGCGTGGTCTTGTAGGGACCTTTCTTGAACGTTTTAGTAATGACGGTGTTCACACTTTTCCCGATGTCATTCATTTGTGCAGTGTCGATGATGATCTTATCGTTCAATAGAATGTCTGTGATTTTTTCCATTCGGAACGTTTTGAAGGAAGATTTGGTGTATCGCCTTTTGACGGTGTACCCGTGATCCTCGACAAGTTTCAAAAGGCGGTTGAACGTGAGTGCCGACCGATTGATATCTTTGTGACGCCGCGTTTGTCTGACTTTCTTGGCGTTTGGGGCAGTGTTTTTTTCGCCCTCGTAACGCTCGTTGCAGACCGATTCGATATCCTCCCCAAACCCTAACGATTTTCCATCGTAAAACAACTCGTTGACGATTAAAAATTGAATGGTTTTTGCGGCAAGGCGCTCGGGGTGCTTAATCTCGATCGAATACCCGAGGTAGTTGAGTAGGGCTATCAAAACTGCCTGCTGGACTGCCTCGAACGATTTTGACTCTCGTTTTACCTCCGTCGTTGAAATCGCGCGCTGTGGTTTTGACATGTAAATTTCCCTTTCGAGTTCTTTTTGATTTCTATTTTTGTTGCGTTTTTCTGGATTTAAATTTCTCTTTTGTGATTTTTGTAAAATTCTGTTTTGGTGCCATTCCCCGAATCTTCGCTTGAAAAACAGTGTTTTTTCTTTTTAACCCTTGACGTGGTCACCTTTTGAAAATGAAAAACCCATTTTGCCAATTGTTTTTTTGGCAAGTTTCCCCTCCAGATCTAGCCCGTATTTACCACTTTTTTTTTCTAATCTTTTTTTACGGAAAAATGACGGAACAAACACGTCTATGGTCTGGTTTTCTTTTTTATTTGCACATTTGAAAATGTCGTCTTGATTTATATTTTAAAATCAAAAAAACGAAATTTTGACTCAAAAACTTCCCAATTCTTGAGTGTTTCTTTTACTAAATTAAAGCAAAGCTATTTGGGTATTATGCCGTTTTATTTTCAGAAAAAATAACTGATTCGAGCAAAAACAAGCCAAACAATGGTAAACAGCTAATCATGATTTGCTTGTTTTTAAATAAATGTGTTTTGGGATGGCTTTTTATAGCCAACCATACGGCACAAAACGGGAAATGCAAAAGTTGTAATTTCTTTTTATATTAATTCGAGCTATGTTTAATGGTTTTCCCCTCTTTTTCAGGGATTATTATGGATTTTCTTCTAGTTTCTCTAAAACTGCCAAACTTCCTAAATTAAAACAATATAATGTATCATTATATATAGTTTATTTTAGATTTAGTTACTATAAGTTGTTTTGTTAAACCGTTTGGATTGGGAAAAATGATATAATTAATTTTTATGTTTAAAAATTAATTCCATTTTTTGGTTTTAAAAAGAAAATTTATTTAGTGATATATTATATTATATAAATATTAATTAAAGTGGTTTAAACAAAAAAACTGTTCTTATTAAATGTTGTTTAAAAAAATTTGGTGTTGTTTGGTACAAAAAATAGTTTGAAAAAACTATAAAAAGAATAAAAAAAATCCCGACAGAAAGGTCGTTTTAGAAATATGATAAAGTTTGGATTTTTTGCAATTTATTTTTAAATAGAATTGAATATATTAGTGATAATTAAATGACACTTTTGCCTATCATAATTGACATCCCTTTTATTCTCTTTGTTTTTTAAGTAAATGATTCAACAAATTCCCTAAAGATTAATATATATAATTAAACGGTTTAAAAATTGAATAACTAATTATGAACAATAAAAATTTAATTATCATTTTAAACTAAAAAACAAATTCAAAAATGTACCATATCTAATTATTTATTTACTATTAAGTTTTTAGAATAACAACTTTTATTACAAATAGTTTTTTGTATTAATTGATTTGTTAATTTCATTAAAAAATAAAAACAAAACAAATAACATTTTATTTATCGAGTTGTTGAAGTGCTCTTTCAAACTCGACTCGTAATTTTTGAGATGTGTTTGACAAAGGGTTTTGTTGAGTCTCCAACCTCTTCATAATATTCTCACGAAACGTTTTGACGTCAAAGTCGTCTGACTGGATTGTATCACAACCGTTGGTTGTTTCAAATGTCACAATCCCATGGTTTTCAATGTTTGTAGCCGAAACACCAACTTCTTCCATCGCCGTTTTCAATTCATCGTTTTTGTTGTTTTCTTCCATACAATTTCTTTGTTCCTTATTCGACTTTTTTTGTGTTTATTTATTGGCTAATTCTATTATTTATTGTTTGGTTTATTAAAAAAACAGTGATATTTTTTTATTAGTATTTATAATAGTTTTTATTATTTTTTTTGGCTTTTTTTTTCTAATATTTTTATTAATTATTTAATTATAAATAAAGTGTATTTGAAAAATGAAATAAAATTTTTTTTTTCTTATAAATCTAATTTATAATTAACCATATTATAATAATTAAATTTATTATAAAAAATAAATAATAGAAATAATGCAAATAGTGATTATATTATAAACATATTAATTAATATAGTTACTCTAAAAAATCACAACATTTTTTTTTGATTGAGATCAAAAAGACGGAAAGAAACCACAATAGAGCGAAGAAAATTGAGAAGAGCACCATTAATGGAGTCTTCAAGCGACAGTGGTAACATCATAACAACAAAAGTCATTGGGATAGACAAAGCAAATGAAGAGGACAACATGGTGGAAACACCCCCATCGAGGAGTGTCAGCCCAGTACCAGATGATCACAGAAACGTCAAAAAGGAAGACTTGTCAAATGAAAAGGAAGACGAGGAGGACCAAACAAGCTCAGACCACATTCCAGAACAAAATGAACTCAAGCCACAGGCAATAATCCACGAAAACCAGTCGTTTGTTAATGATAAGTCAAGAGTTGGAGCTGAGTTGGAGTATCAAGTTTGTATTTTGAAACATATGGTTGAAAACACTGAATAAAAGGACGTAAAAATGAAATTTGAAGTGGCTAAGATAGATGGGAAAATACTGCGAAAGAAAAACAAACTGTTAAACAAACAACTGGACCCTTTGTACACGGGGGAGAAGGAACGCGTGATGGTTGCTTTGAAAGCCAATGACGCGCTGATGAACGAAATCCACATTGTTTATAAAAAGAAGAGAAGGGAAAAAATCAGTCGGATGTTGCACTTGACACGAACAGATTAAACCACAATTTGTATTTGTTGTTTGACATTAGAAACCAAACCATGTTGAGTAATGAAACGTTCACTACTTCATTATCTAATTTACAATGATTTCTTTTTATAAACTTGTTTGAACAAAATCAATTGCAAGTCAGTTGAAAAAATTTTATATCTTTAGCAATGATAAAGTTTTTTTCGTTTTTCACAGTTTTTCGCACAAAATCAATCAATACCCCTTTATAAACAAGTGTATATACACTCATTGGTTGTCAAGTTTATTTTGATGTTCATTAAACAAATTCAAATTACTGCGAATATTTAAATAGCTTGAATTTTGAACTGTTGTATAATATTAACAATGGAAAAGACTTCTAAATATATTTTTAATTGATTAAAACTATTTAAATAGTTTAAATAATCTCTAACCAAAATGCAAAAAAATTGTTTAACCATTCAAATGGTTTCTTTTAACTATAACAAAACAATAGTTTTTAATTAAACTGAGTAATAATAATATAGCCCAGTTATTAAATTGAAATGATTCTATAAACTTTGTTAAATTATGTTATAAATAAAAATTGAGTTCGATATGAAGTTTTCGAAAAGACACATAAGAACATAACTTATAAAATATAGTTTTTTTATTTAAATTGAAAACTAATATAATAAAAACTCTATAGAGATAAATGCGTTATTTGACCATTTAATCATTTGTATTTCAAAATAATTGTTATTCCAAATATACATTTTTCTATTCTTTGTGTGTGTTTTACCTGTTTTAACAGGTTTTTAAGCCATTCCAGTTGGACAATAATAGGTATTCAAACTACCCAACTTTCAAAAGTACCTTTTCGCATGTAAAATAAATGAAATAAATGGAGTTTTGGATCGATATTATTAATAATAGATCATCAAATCCAAGTTGACAATTTTTGCTTTGTGTAACCAATCAACACCAACAAACTCTATTTGTTTTTTCTATTATATTATAATATGACACTAATATTTTTGTATGTATTCCACTAAACCACACATTTAAAAATGAATTGGTATTTTTATCAAAATTATTATATTATTGAAAAAAAAACAGCGAATCTATTTGTGTGACATTTTTTAAAATATTTAATTTTTTAAACTATATATTAATAATTCAAAATAAAATCTTTTTTTGAATTATTTACAAAAAAAATCAATAATTGATTGCGTTTATTTTCCCGTTTTTTGATTGTATTTGGTACTATTGTTTGAACTATCAAGAAGATATTTTAACTACAAACCCCATTTATTTTTAGAAATTATTTATATATATAGAGCAAAACGTGGAAACACATGTGCACACGAAAAACAATAGCAAAATTCCAAGCAAAATATCAGGAATTATGTTTTATGATCACCAAAATCTTTGTTTAAAATTAAAGTTAATTACCTATTACTAAAAACTGTAAAAAATTGTAATTTTCAACTAAGTGTGTGAAAAAATGAAGAATGTTATTTTTTGTATTATAAAACACCTGTTTATAATTAAACCCCATAATAAAAATAGAATAACTTTTTATATAATTATCGAACTTGATTGAAAACCGGGTTTGGTGGTTCAGAAACGGGGAAAAGTGAGAAATTGGTTTGTTGATTGCCTTTTGTATTTTGGTCGATTATTATACCCACCATTTTGATTGCATTACCCGACCCAATAGAGCCAAACAAACTTACCAAGAATATTCATTTTTTAAATGTTTGTTCTATTTATAGAAAGAGTTGTTCCATATTTTTAAATGCTCCAATTTAAAGAAACTTTTGTACTCCATATTCAAAATGAACTTCTCCTCCTCTACACCAAACTCCCCACGAGGCCAACAAGCCTTAATAGCTCGAAGAGAGATGTCAAAGAGTTGTGTTATGTTTAAGAATTCACTATTCGATGATAAAGATGAAGAATGTGACTCAGAAATCCTCTCCATTCTTCAGAAGAACACTAACAAAAAACCTTTTGTCATTGTCGGTAACGAAAATGTTATTGCACCTTACCTTTCTAGTCTAGAAAGACCACAGAATCATTCCCTTATACAACTCATTTAAAGCACATACTCTTTGTTATTAGTACAACTCTGTTTATTTACTATTACTTCATTTGTGTTTTCTAAAGACGTGTGATATTTCTTAATAAATATAAATATTATATGAACTATTTTATTATCATATATAATAATTTTATCTATCCACAATTTGTTTCCGTCATTTAATGACGGGTAATTATTTTTCATATAATTTACAAATTATATTAATACACATTTTAAAATATAGTTCTTTTTATCACATACAATTATGAATAATAGAATTTATAACCATTAATATATAAATAGTATTTTTTAAATAAAATTAATTATACTTATAAAGTAAACAAATTTAATATTTAATAATAAATAAACTATACATAATATTTCGACTTTGAATAAAAAAATTCAACTCATTTTGAAAACACACTGAAACCAACTATGGAGAAAGGAAAAACACTCAAAATGCTATTAGTTGGCGAATCGTCTGTTGGAAAAACGTCACTGACCCAACGATACATTTCAAACACATTTGATGACATCTTTTTAGCGTCCGTTGGAGTTGATTTCAAGTTCAAAGAGGTGACCTACAACAACGAACCTTTAAGAGTCCAGTTTGTTCTTCTTCACTCCACAAACAAATAACACAATACTAACAAAGAGGTTATGGGATACAGGTTTGTTGATCGATCAAATAACATTTTGAATAACAAAAAGCTGGTCAAGAGCGATTTCGGAGTATTGGGAAGTCATATTATAGAAACGCGGATGTTGCACTTGTTGTCTTTGATTTGAACAACTTCTTGACCTTCCAAAAAGTGTGTTTACCCTATCTACTCTTCAATCATTAAATAACAAAACTGACACGGTAGGCAAGTTATTGGTTAGATGAGATTCGTAGTGAAGGATATGAAAACACGGTTGTAATAGTCGGGAACAAAAATGACTTAGAAAGTAAAGTAGAGGATGACCAAATCACAAAAGCATTTCCAGACGTCTTGTACGTGAAGGTCTCCGCAAAGACGGGAAACAACGTGGAGTTCTTGTTTGACTCGATCGTCAAATTAACTATGCAAAAAGTCGAGAATGAAAAAATTAAAGAGGACACACAACAAAAGGAACAAGTCATTATCAACTTCCCTAAAGAACCACAACAAAACAAGTCTTCATGTTGTTAATATTTTTACTAAACGTTATTGGTTTATTTATTATTCTTTTATAATACTTATTATCTCTAGTAATCTATCTATTCTTTCATTTTTTATTATTTATTGTAAACTATTTATTAATAGAACGACAACTATATTTGTATTAAAATATCAAGTCTAAACCAATCAATATTAAAAATAGCTTATTGAAAGAAAAAAATAAACCTAAGAAATGGAAAAAATCTTCAATTGTTAAAAAGAACGATAATAAAACATATAGAAAATAAAACCATAATAAAGTATATTAGACTTAATTAGAAATAGAGTCTATTTCAATCAAAACATTCAAAAATGAAAATAATATAAATAGGCATTGACTTTACATCAACTCGCGTGGTGGAACGAGAAATTAACGAAATAAAGAAGACAAAAACATGAGTTTATTAATAAGAAACCAACACAACTACAAACAGATGAATTAAACAAGTCATAATAAAGCTTCGGATTTATACTTTAAGACTAGTTTTCTTATAGTCGGGTAGACAGACTCAACAGTCTTGTCTCCACACTTCAAAGCCATTCGAACGGCATGGTAACACTTTTCATAGAGGTCGTCGAAGGTGAGTGTGTCCCCTCGAGGGGACAAAGGGCAGAAGTCTCCGTCGGGAGACTCAATCAAAGCCCGCAAGACTAAGGCAAAGACCCCTTTCTCGATCTCGTGCTTGGTTGACTTGCTAAGGTCTTGCGAGTGCATTCTGGTTGGCCTTGTGGGGGCCATCATTGCTACACGGCGTGGTTGTGACGTTTCTAACGCTTCCATAACTGTTTATGAAGTTGTCAGTTCTTTAAGCTTTTTATTGTCCAGAGTTCACCCTTTTTTTCTCTGGTTACATCACTCGTTGTTCAGAAACTTCAATCATCTCTCACTCTTTTTTAAGTGCTTGGCTTTGCATTCTATAGTTCTTTTACTGTAATTTTTACTATTGAGATCAGTTTTTCTTTTTTAAGGACCATTGTCTTGTTCGTTAATTCTTTCATTATTAGAATTTTATTAGAATTGGTCTTTTCCTTTCGACAATTTGATTTTGTTTTGTTGAAAATACCAACCAAATACTTTTCCCGATTAATACCACGCTTTATACGTATCATTCAATAGAATTCACAAAATAATTTTTTAAACCTCCAAAAAAATTGTAAATATTTTTTGTAAATCAAAAATTAATTGATTGTGTCATTATACTATTGAAATCTATTAAAAGTATCTATTATTTACTAGATTGATTTTTTTGAAGTATGGCTTTTTTTAATAATTATTTCATTATGAAAAGATATTTTAATTTTAGTTCAAAGAATAGTTTTTTGCTTATTAAAACAAGTTAAATTTTAAATATCAAACGGCATTCTATGAGCTGTATTTTTTTTGTTTTTGATTAACTTGTTTTATTAACTTATTATACTACAAAACTAGATGCATATAGCTCACATGTCATAATGTTGGAATGGCGTGTTGACAAAAAAGCGAAATATGTTGTACCTCAAAACCTTCTCTTACAAAACTCTTCTTTAAGTCTTTATTAATTTAGTACTTCATAATTAGATCTTGATTTCCGTTGAATTATAATGCTTAAGCAAAGAAACATTTCCACAATCGTTCTGCCAAAAAAATCACAAAACTCTTGATGAGGAACGAGAACACACTTAAGCGCAATAAAAAAAAGGAAGTCAATGGTACCAACCTGTCAATAATTTCGATCTACACTTTATCATATTGTTTATAACCGATCCTGAAGAACGTGAAGGGGTCATACGAATCAGTTTGTGTCCTTCTACCCGTTAGGACATTAAGTGGTTTATATTCGGTTGGCGGTCCTTGCTCAAAACCCGTTTCGTCGTACTCCCTATTTGGTTGATCGTCATAAGCGATGTACGAGTTTGCGTTCGACTGTCGCTGTGTTGGTGGCTCGCTGACTGACAATGTGTGTATTTTAGAAAATGTTGTTTTAAACATCTCACCACCCTTCGCCTCGAAATCATCATTTTTGGGGAGGATGAGCGTACTGGCGCATTTCACATATGGTTTGTCCTTGTTTTTGCTCATCTTGCCAAAGACAAGTTTTGTGTTCATATAATTTGATGGGAAAGGCTCGGGTATTTTAAAGACGGGATTTGGGTTTGGTGATTGATTCAAAAAGTCGACGTCGGTGTTCAAGTCCATATCTGGGCCCAGACTTGCAATCTGTTGTAATAGCAAATTTGACTTCATGTTGTCAACACACCCATAATTAATTAGTCCTTTCAAATAAGCTTCTTTGTTCTTTGAAATGGTGTTTATTCCTTGCCGAGGTTCTTTTCCAAACTGTACATCGTCCTCTGCATCGTCGTCGACATCACGATTTCTTCGCCTGACTCTCTTTACTTCTGGTTCTGAAAAAATCGGGCGTTTCTTGTGAACTTCAATTTCTTTCTTCTCAACTTTCTTCTTACGCTTTTGTAACTTTGAACGGGTGTCCTCTTCGTCGCTCTCGACGACAAACTTCGACTTTTTCTCCAATTTTTTCTCGGGAACCTTCTTTTCCAAAGATTTGCGCTCAATCTTCTTCTTCCTTTCTTTTGGTTGACTTACTTTTGACAATACCGATTTCAACAAAGCTGCAATGTTTTCTTTAAATGACTCTTTCTTCTCATTAAGTGTCTTGATCTCCTCAATGAAGTCGTCTTTGTTTGTTATGATGAAATTTGCGATACTATTCACAATTGATATCCCAAGTTTGTTCTCTGTTTTGCCATTGCTAGTACTCACCTCGATAAGCCAGTTTATCATCATTCGAACAATTTTCCAATTCCCCAAACTATAAATCACTGAAATTTGTTCTTGACTCAGTCTATCCATTACACTAACAACAGCTAATTTCTGATCGCATGTAACACAATCTGATAAATATTCTAATACAATGTCGTCGGTGATTTCTTTGTTGTTGTAAAGATTAAATAATTCTACTGAATTGATTGTAATGGTGTTGTCCATCATTGATTGTAATTCCTTGTTTTTAATTCTTATCAATTTTATTCTTTAATATTATCATGGTTTATCAAATTAAAACCTACAACTATACATTATTATTTTTTTTATTATAAATTTAAGTTAACTGAAAAATATATCAACATATTCATCTTTTTTGTGGATTCAATTCTATTTGAGATTTTAACTATAAATATAATTAAAATAATTACTAAGTATAGTTATAATTTATTTTTATTAAATAATAATAAATTAAATCAATTTGGTTTCATTTTTTTTATTTTTTATTTGATTATTTATTTAATAAAAATATTATTTATATTATTGTATTTATTCGAATTAATTAAAAAAAAATTATCAAAAACAAAATTAAATAAAGTTTTGGGTAAATTTATTATATTTTTGATTTAGTATCAAAGAATACCATTAATATAGTTTTTGGTTAAAAAAAATTGTGTCGTTTTTTTCTTATTATAATCAACAATTAAAAATTAGCTAATAACAACAATTAAATTATATAATTATAATACTATATTAAAATTATAAAGAATAATTTTGAGATGTACAGATGTGGTACTAAAAATACAAAATGATTATCATAAGAGTTATTTTATACCACAATTTCAATACAAGATATTTCTTCTTATATATCAATTCTTCTACAAACTATTTGTTCTTTATCCAATTGAACTTATTTTTTTTCGAGATCATGAAATTTCCCTTCAAATTTCATTTATATGTTTTTTTTTAAAAAAAAATTTAAAATAACACGCAAATTGCCCCTCTTCACCTTCTTTTCTTTTAAATTACATTTTTGTTTTTTCATAAGAAACAATTATATGTAAATAGTAAAAAACTATTATTTACTAGTTTTTTCAAACACAACAGAGAAAGTTCCCAAAAATGTAATAAATATCAAGGTGTGAACCACAAAGAAAAAAAGCACAAATCGAACCAGTGAAGAAGACGAACTTGAAAAAGAACTTGAAAGGTAGACCAACCATGTCGAGTGACAACCAAAGTATTCTTTGCATCAGTTTTAACCAAGATTATTCCTGTTTTGCCCTCGGCACTACACGAGGGTTTTGTGTATTTGGGATTGAACAGACACGGCTTCGCGAGCGGTTCAAACGTAATTTTAATGGAGGGGTAGGAATTATAGAATTGCTATACAAGTCGAATTTAGTTGGTTTGTTACTACACATATAGTTCATGTTAACTATTATTATACTATAACCACACTAGTTAATTAATAGTTACTTAATTATAACAACTTCACCTCTATGACACCCATTTCTAATACTTTAATTATATATTAATAAGAAAATTAATGTCAAGCTTTGGTTGGTGGTGGACCACAACCGGTCTTCCCCCCTACAAAATTAATCATTTGGGACGACTATCAAAACAAAGGGATTGCCGAGTTGGAGTATGACTCTCCCGTCCGTGCTGCTCGTTTAAAACGTGATATAATAGTAGTTGTAGTAGACACAAGTGTCTTTGTCTATGACTTTAGAAACTTGAATCTCCGCCAGACGTTTAAGACATGTCCCAACCCAAGAGGACTCATTGCTGTGTCTTCCTCAGACAAGAAAATAATTGCGTATCCCTCCACCGAAGACGGTAAAGTCATAGTCTCAAACTTAGAAACGGGGGCGTCCGCATCTATTGAAGCACACAAACACATCATTTCCGCAATGAGTTTGTCGCCAGAAGCCAATTTGTTGGTGACTGCAAGTTCGGAAGGGACTTTATTCAGAGTTTGGGACACCGCTCGTGGCGAGAAGGTTGGCGAGTTCCGTCGTGGGAAAAATGCTGCTGAGATCTATTCCATTTCTTTCTCACAAGACGGCAAATTTATAGTTACTAATAGTAACAGAGGAACTATTCATTTATACACCCTCCAACAAGACGGCGATGTTGCCAACAAAGAGTCAAAATTCTCCAAAATCGTCCCCGGCTTTTCTGGAGTCTATGGATGTTGTGAATTCTCAATTACACCAGAGGTCTATACTTCCGTCTTCTTCGGGTGGCAAAATTCGCCTTCGATGAGTGTTATGGCCATCACTCAAGAAGGGTCTTTCATGAAGTTTAACATCACCACTGATAAAGGAAAGATGACAATGGTTCAAGATGAGTCTTCTCCCATTCTTTGAATGCAATTGTGGTTATTCACTTTTTATGTTAGTTTGATTCATTCAATAAATATAATACTATTTATTATATTATAATGAGAATTTACTAGTATTATAATATTTAGTAGTATTCTTTTTATTCTATTAAAATATCATAATTTAAACTATTGTCTTGTTTAATAGTATTTTTACTAGAAAAAAGTGGGTTTTTAATCAAATAATTTAAATAGTTATGAAACTAGAATCACTAGTTTTACTCACCCAAACAATTGAATTGAAGTATAGTTTATATATAGTTATTATTTAATATATTTACTATAATACGAACACTGAATGAACACAACAACAAGACGAACAAATGAACCTGAAAACACCAAAAAAAATCTTATGCCTTGGTTTCTGGGGCAGCAGCTGGAGCTTCGACGGGTGTATTAACGGTCAACGCTGCTTGTTGTTTAGCCTTATCAGCGGAGTCCTTGTCGAGTTTGGCTTGGAGTTTCATTTGTTTCTGGTTATGTTTGAATCCGTTGATTCTTCCACCGAACTCTCTGTACATGTGGACGTTATCGAAGTACAAAGACTTGACGTTCTCGACGAGAGCATTGAAGCTGGCGGTGTCTTCCTTAGCGATATCAGTGATAGCAAGGCAAGCAGCAGTCTTTTTGTGGATGATCTTACCGAGTCTAGCCTTACCCTTAACAATGCAGTATGGGACTTCGAGCTTCTTGCACAAGTATGGCATGAACAAGACCATCTCGAGTGGGCAGACATCATGAGCGATGATGACCAACTTGGCTTGTTTCTTTTCGATCAACTTAGTGACCAAGTTCAATCCGGACTTGACAAATGGCTTCACCTCAGTGTTTTTGGTGACTTTTGGAGCCTTCTCCTTCTTAGCAAGTTTCTCGGCTAATTCCTTGGCAGCGGCTTTGATGCGAGCTCTTCGGACAGCACTTTCTTCTGGCTTAATGTGATCCAATACCTTGAAGAGAGTAAGAGCATTCTGCTTATCCAAAGTGTGGTTGTAGAAGATGTTGACCGCTGGGGGGACTTTCAAACGCTTCATCAAAATTCTCTTCTCCTTCTGGACTCGGACATATCTTGGGAATTTGACATATCGCGACAAATCTCTCTTGTGTTGGACATTCCCCATCCCAAAGGTCTTTGGAGTGGATTTAATCAATGGGTTCGCAATTTTGACTGCCTTCGTGTGCTTAGCCTTCTTTGTCACCTCCTTCCCTGACATCTCGACAATCACTAAGTAGTTTACCCTTTTAACTATTAACCCTCTTTTCATTTTTTTAATAGTTTCTTTTACTATAGCTCTTCTGTAGCTTTTTATAATTCATTTTTACTATTCTTTTTTTTTCAAAAAAGGGTCTCATAACTTTTAACGGTTGTATTATTTCGGCTCTGTGGTGTTTTTCATGCTATTTTCAATATTTTTTTTTAATGTAAATCTCTTACCTGTATATATATTATTTTTATTAATCAATAAATTATTAATCAATAAAATTAGTAGATTTATTATATTTTACTACAATGAAATAGAATAATGAAAAAAACTATATGAAAGTTATATACAAACTAATATAAACCATACTGAAAGCTTACTTTATGCTGAGTACTCGATGAAGAGGAAGAACGCGATCAACACAACAGAAATGTATGCGGAAAACACCACAAGAGTTCCTGTAGCCGCAGTGACTGATTCCTCAAACTCCACAACAAACAAATTTTCTTCCATCAAATTGACGTTTTCAAATTGGACGTCGACTTCCGCTCTTTTTGCAAAAGACATGAACGCGTCTCTCTCTGTCACTTCGACTTTCCCAAGTCCAGTGCACTTCGTGTATTTTGCTCCGTCTGGCAAATAGACTTTTGCGATGACCTTTTCAGCTATTGCTTCTTTCAGTTGGGGCAACTTTACAATGACTTTCCCGTCTTTTTGAATCACATTCGCAGCTATGTCGTGGCCAATCATAAACTCCGTCTTCCACCCGCTCATGAGGGGGTATCTTGGCAATGCCATCAATGTCACATTCTCGTCGTGCAACATCACTTCCGACGTCGATATATTCCCCGATCGATCTTTGTAGATGAAATGCTCTGCTCGTGCGTCAAATGCCATTTCAAAGACTCCAATCGCATTCGGATAGTTTCCGATGTTCTTCTGGAAGTCCGCGCGACTGAATTTCTCGACAAAAGGTCCTTCATTCGTTGCTCCTTCAAACCAGTCTTCTACTCTTGCATTACTCGCAACAGTTGGCAAGTCGATGATATGTGTCATGCTCTCGATTTTAAGATGGACCTTTGGCGCAAAATGGATTTGGACTCTTTCCTCGCGCATCGGCTCGATATCGTCTATCGGACCTATCGCAGTGTTATTACCAACAGTGTTATGAGCTTGTGCAGACAACACTTTAATACCTGTCGAGTGCTCCACGACGACTTGGCAAGACTTTGTTAAATACATTGACATTGGGCAAATCAGTGAAGTGTAGTCCCCTTCAATCGTTTTAAACTCTGACAGTGTTTTTGGTCTTGGAACAACGCTATTTGTTTCTATATAGTCAACTACAATTTGTTTCTTCGTCACTGCCTCGAAGCTTAAGACGTACTCCGTCGCTTTCAACGTTGTCTTTCTGTCTCTGAGTCCTTCTTCTACTAAACCCACACTTTTACTATATTTATTATTTATTCAAACTATACTTCATTAGTTCGAGAAAACAAACTTTTCATATGCAATTTCCTGTTCAGAGTCGGCGTCAGTGAACTTAATGGAGGCGACTTTTAACTCTTTGGGTAATAAGAAAGTGTAAGAGGTGAATGCCTCGTCGGATGTTGCCATGATTTTAGTTGAGAGAATTGGGTACGCCTGTGTCAAGTCGAGTTGGACAAGTGCATTTTCATTGACGACTTCTGCAACCGCCCCACAGACCACTGCAAGCACAAGGAGGAATACCTTTGCCATGACTACTTTATTTTGCAGTTTATAGGGTTTTTGAGTTCTCACCAAATTAACACCAAAAACTATTATTTATGCCATTTTCACTACAGTCACCTCCGGTCCATGTTTCTTCTTAAAGAATGTGACGTACAGTGTCAGAAACACAATTGAGAGGATCGTTAGTCCAAGAAAATACACAAACACAACTAATTTAGCGACGCCACTGTGGTCTAAAATATTAGTATTTTGAATAATTCATGTTACTATATTTATAGTATTACAATCAAAAAGCAGATGTTTTGAGTTGAGAAGTGTGAAGACGCTATATTCATATGAATAATATAGACAAACCGTAGGGCTCATTAGTGATGGTAGTCACCATACTCATTCTCCAACTGCTTTTTTAAATTCTTTTTTGTTCTCACCTTAAAACAAAGAGGAGAAATTATTAAGTCTAGTAAAATTATAGTTTCGATAGTAATAAACAATCAATTGAGTTCAAGAGACATTTGATGTCTTGAAGGGGCAATACTACAACTATCCCGTGTCACAGTCTCACCTAGAGACTTCACCGTCTCGATTTTCTTGAGTTGGTTGAGTGATTCTTTATTCATCTCGTTCATCGTCTTGATGAGTTGAAGAGCATATTCAAGACTAATAGCATCTTGTACTGTTATCTCTTGTGTCCCGATACTCTCAATCTTTTTTGTGTTATTCACTCTATTCGCTAAAGCAATGAGAGTGTCTTGAATCAATTTGTTGTTTGCTTCCGCTTGGAGTTGTGTCTCTTGGATTTGCTTTTTCTGTTGTTGAAGCTTCTCTTCGCGTTTGAGCTTCTGGTCGCCGTTGGAGTCTTCTTGAAGTAACCCATCTCGTTCTAATATCATTTTTGTTGACGCCCATAACAAATTCAGTTCTTTGCGTGGCGGTTGCGGTGACAATTGTTTGGTTTCGCTAAGTACCAGTTTTTTGAATTTCTGTGTGGATATAGTGATCTTTTGTTCGACTTCCATCCGCTTTTTTAAGTGTTTTTTATTCAACACATTTTCTGTCTTTTTGGATTTTGTTATTTGTGATAATAATAATATTATTATTACTATAATATATTTTATTAAAATAATTAATTACTGTTATTAATAATTATTTTATTAATTATTGACTAAATTAATATGGTTTATTTTTTAATATATTTGAATGTAATAATACAATAATTATCATATACTATATAAACTATACAAATATAGTACAAAAGGAAAACATCAAAGTTTTATTTTTTTTCAATTGAAAAACAAAAATGAATTATTAATTACCAAAAATGAACAAAGTACTATAATTAATTAAAATAAATAGATATAAAATACTATATTTGCAATTAAAGAGTCGAAATTAGTTTTCTCAATGAATAAGAAGGGTTTAAATTACTTTAAATTTCTCAAACCTTTTTTAAAGTAAATGTCTCGTCCCGAGCATATTGCTCCAGCAGAAATCTTTTACAATGAAGAGGAGGCGAAGAAGTACTCCACGAATTCCCGTATGTCTTTTATTCAACAAGAAATGACAGAGCGTGCGATTGAGTTGATGAATTTGAATGGACGGACCAATCTCCACATTTTAGATTTAGGGTGTGGGTCCGGGTTTTCAGGGACGACTTTAGAAATGAACGGACAGTTATATACTGGCATGGACATCTCTTTTGATATGCTTAAAATAGCAAAAGAGAGTAATGGGAGTGTAGTACAAGGTGATATGGGTGGGTATCTTCCCTTCCGTCCAAACACCTTTGATGGGTGTATTTCGATCTCTGCGATCCAGTGGTTATGTCAGTCAGACAAACGTTCACAAAATCCGTTGTCGCGTCTTCGAAAGTTATTTGAGTCCTTGTTTGGGTGTATGAAAAGAGGTTCTCGGTGTGTTTTTCAGTTATATCCCGAGTCACACTTCGACTTGGAAATGATAACCAATGCGGCTGCTAAAGCAGGGTTTACTGGGGGTGTTGTTGTCGATTTCCCTAACAGTAAAAAAGCAAAGAAGTATTACATCGTTTTAATGTGTGGAGAGCAGAAGGGTGGGATGCCAATGGCAAAAGGTGTTGATGTCGTCGATGAAGAGGAGACCAGCATCAAAGTCGATAAGAAGAAGTTCAAGAACGAGACAAAACCACGAAAGATTAAAACAAAAAGTCGTGAGTGGATCTTAAACAAGAAACAAAAACAACGTGAGAAAGGTTTGGATGTCAGACCAGACACTAAGTACACTGGAAGAAAGAGAAGTCGTGGGTTCTAATTGATTGTTCATTCTAATAACTTTTATAGTACCATTTACTATATAGTATAGAATTTGTCTTTTCTGGTTCTATTTCAATAAAAACCCATCTAAAAATTCCAATATAAGGAACGATGAGTAAGTCCCTCGTAGTGCTTTTCTTCTTTACGGGATTTCTCCTCCGTGTTGGGCTGATAATGTATGGGATGTATCAAGACAAAGTTATGAACCTACGATACACAGATATAGATTACGACGTATATAATGACGCATCCCGGTATATAGTGGACGGGGAATCACCATATAGAAGAGCTACATACCGATATACCCCACTCTTGGCTGAGATGTTAATACCCGACGTGACACTGAATGAAGAGTTTGGGAAGATCCTCTTCTGTGTTTTTGATGTTGTTATTGGGGCATTACAATATCAAATGCTGAGACAAACATTATCAGTCATGTGGTCGTTGGTCTATACGTCGATTTGGATATTCAACCCGATGAGTATCGTCATCTCGACACGTGGGAACGCAGAGGCAGTGGTCTGTCTCTTTGTTATCTTGACGTTCTACTTTTTGTACAAGAGGAAGATCTACCTCTGCTCATTCTTCTTTGGTCTTGCAGTGCATATGAAGATCTACCCCGTCTTATACGCTTTTCCTATTCTATTTGCTTTGGACGCGTTCTTCCCAAACAAGTCTTTTTTTTCGAAAGAGCGATTTTTGTTCCCAATTGTATCGTTCGGGACATTTGCACTACTCACTGCGTTCTACTACTATCGTTACGGCTTCCAATTCCTTTGGGAGACGTACTTGTACCACGCAACTCGAACGGATCATCGACACAATCTGTCAGTGTATTGGTATTACCTCTCTTTGGCATTTGACTTCCCGAAGTCTACTGTTCGGTCACTCATCAGTTTTTTGCCACAAATACTCTGTCTTGTTGCTGTTGCTATTAAGTACTGCAAGAAAGATATTATCTTCTGTGGGTATCTGATGACGTGCATCTTTGTCTGTTTCAATAAAGTGTACACAATGCAGTACTTCATTTGGTGGTTTGTGTTACTCCCATTTGTCGTCCCCAAAATCGTGAAAGGAGCATTGCATCATATTGTGTTGACCATAACAGTAATAGCAATGTATGTCGCTTCATATGGAGTGTGGCTTTATTACGGTTATCAGCTTGAATTTATGGGGGAAAATTCGATGTTTGAAATCTACTGCGCGGGGTTGTTTGTCTTCGTGATGAATATTTTGCTCATATGTTGGCATGTATACGTTTACACCCTTTCCGAGAAACTTGAAACCACAGAGAAGCCAAAAACACACTAATTTGTGGTTCGTATTTGTTATTTTAAATGGTAGTTTTATAGTAAATTGTACTATAATATAGCGTTAAATAGTTACTTTTGAATATCAAGTGGTGCTCTTTTTTATTATCATAATGTACTATATATTATAATACAATTTGTTATATTTATAAAAAATAGGAAATCTTGAAGTCCATTGAGCAAAACTCTTATTACACTTTTGAACTACAAAATAAACCATCAAAACATGGGAGAGGAAGTTCAGTCGATAGTTATAGACAACGGCTCTGGATTATGCAAATGTGGACTGTCAGGAGAAAGTCTTCCTCGGTCTGTCTTTCCATCGATCGTTGGAGTTCCTCGAGAATCAAATGTAATGGCAGGACTTGGGAACAAAAGCGTGTACTTGGGAAATGAGGCAGATTCAAAAAGAGGGGTTTTGACATTGAAATACCCAATTGAACATGGTGTAGTCACTAACTGGGATGACATGGAAAAGTTGTGGTACCACGCGTTCTACAACGAACTCAAAACACCACCAGAAGATCGACCGTTGTTGCTCACTGCACCTCCAACAACAACCTCAGCTTATAAAAATCGGATGATGCAAATCATGTTTGAGACGTTCAACGTGCCGTCGCTATTTATATGCCCACAGGCTGTGCTGTCGTTATACACATCGGGTAGATTAACTGGACTTGTACTTGATAGTGGAGATGGCGTGACACATGCGGTACCGGTATATGAAGGCTTTTCTTTGCCACATTCAGTGTTGTCTCTTGACTTAGCTGGAAGAGACTTAACAGAATACATGATGAAGATATTAACAGAGAGCGGCAATTCATTCACAACGACTGCTGATAGAGAGATATGCAAAGACATCAAAGAGAATTTGTGTTATGTAGCGGGTGACTATATGGACGAATTACAGAAGATGGAGAAGTCTGTTGATCTCAAGAAGAGTTACGAACTTCCCGATGGCCAAGAAATTGTTATTGGGAATGAACGTTTCAGATGTCCCGAAGCACTCTTTGTGCCGGGGTATATTGGTTTGGAGTGTGACGGTATTCACGAGACTACATACAACTCGATCATGAAGTGTGATGTTGATATCAGAAAGGACTTGTACAAGAACATTGTGTTGTCTGGAGGAAGCACGATGTTTTCTGGCTTAAGGGATCGTATGGAAAATGAGATTAAAAAGTTGGCACCAAGAACCATGGAAGTTAAAGTCATAGCGCCGGAGATGCGCAAATACTCTGTGTGGATTGGTGGTTCTATTCTAGCTTCATTATCGACTTTCCAATACTTGACCACTGCCAAGGAAGACTATGAAGAGTCTGGAAGTAACTTAAAAAAGTGAGAAAGTAACAGAATGAACTTTTTGTTATTGAAAATGTCAGATCCACTTTGAGGTTTCTTTTTTTAGTTATAAAACATTTGATTGTAGTTCTTCTTTTTAATTTTAAAACATTTAAAATCAACTCGAAAAATATGATGTTGTTATTTTTACTGGCGACAGTCCATTCGCTCGACTTTAACACATGGTACACACTCCACAATAAAAAATACCAAGCAGTCGAATTTCTGAGGCGAAGAGCTATATTTGCACAGAACGCAAGAGTGGTCTCAAAACATAACGCACTCCAAAGCACTTTTAAAATGTCGTTGAATGGCCCATTTGCTGATATGACAAATGAAGAGTACTTGAAAGTCAATCCAGTGCTTCCTCTGCCTCTTTCAGAGGAAACCCCAAAGAAAATTGGAACGAAAAGAACAATGAAAAAAGACCAAAAGAATGTTGACTGGAGAGATGCCCATATAGTGACAAGCGTGAAGAACCAACACGAGTTTAGTGACTGTCACTCGTGTTATTCATTTGCTTCAGTGTCCACTTTAGAGTCGTTGTATCTTCAAGAAGGCTTCACTAAATACACTGTAGACACATTGGACCTCTCGGAACAACAAATCGTTGATTGTGCTAAAGGCAGTCTTGGGTGTAAAGGTGGAGGAACATTTGCGTTGACGTTCAACTACATCAAGAAGGATGGTGTTGGTCTCGAGAAAGATTTTCCGTACACTGGTATTGATGGAGAGTGCACATACACAAAAGCCAATAAAGTTGTTGGGATCTCAGGATATACATCTCTCGAAATTAATGAAGACGTTTTGACACAAACACTCGATGAACACCCCGTTGGTGTGTGTGTTGATGCCACACACGATTCGTTCAAATTGTACGAAAGTGGTGTTTACGATGAACCAAGGTGCCGCAAAATCATCGACCATTGTATGGCCGCTGTTGGGTATGGGACAACTGAAGACGGTGTTGAGTATTACTTGATCAAAAATTCATGGGGGACCAACTGGGGCGAAGAGGGTTACATTCGAATGTCGAGGAATAAAGATAATCAATGTTCCATAGCAAGTGCAAGTGCTTTTCCAACTGGTCTAAAAGAGTATTAGTGTCATACCAATTCTTATTTCTTATTTAATATCACAAACGTAAAAAATAGTTATAAAATCTATTTTTTTTAAATAGCAACATTAACTATATTAATTACAAATTTTTGTAATTTTTGTTATTGCTATTAACACTCTGTATATTCAGATGTGGAACTAAAGTTTCAACCAGAACCAATGTTTCGACTAATTTAAATACTATTTGAATAATAATGAACACGTTTTTTATTTTTTTTAAAGTCCAAAAAGATCTTTTCTTGTTCAGTTTTTACAATGGTTTATAAATTATTAATTATTGGTCGATACTTTGTACCACATTTGTAAATTGATAATTGTATTTTAATTGTGTTGTTTTTATTTGTTTTACTTTAATAAATAAAGTATTGTTATAATTAATACACAACCATTAATTAAAAAAATAAACATGAAGTAAAGTTGGAAAGTTTAAGTTACAACAAATGAAATATATTTTTGATAGTTACTTATTGCATTTGAAGTCAATTAAATCATTAAGCATTATTGTTTGTTATATTTATCAATATTTTGTAAGTATTGATTATATTTAAGTGTTATAATCAACACTTTTATAAACATTAAAATATTTAAGTGATTATTTCTTTAAATTATAAAAGTTATTATTGGTAAGATGAAAAAATGGGTCTAATGAGTTCTTCAGTGTTTAGTCTGTCTAAAAAAACACAACGATACATTATTGTGTCGGTTTATTGAGTTGTTTGGTTGAAAAAATTAACTTTTATGTGGGTTAAAATAATATTGAATACAACAAAAGAAACAACATGTTGATTTTAATTAAATTAAATTCAATTTGTTTTTAATAGTAGATCAAGTACATGACAAACTACAAGACTCAATTACAACAAACTACTGTATTTAAAAAAATAAATTAACCATCCAAATGCTATTTAATTATTTTTGAACAGTAAAGCAATTGGAACAATAAATCAAACCCATATAAAAATTCATCAGATTTAACAATATTTAACAAGTCTTTATAAAAATTCAATGAAGTCCGAAGATCTTTGAATTTAAAAAAAAGTACGATCAACAATATTTTAATTAATAATTAAATCGAAAAATTTCATATTATCCCGAAAAAATTAATACGACTGGGTTACTATACCCCTTAAAATTATCTCCACTTTTCTTTTTTGAAGAATTTTCATAACATACAACTCTTCAAAACAAACTTAAATTATTTTATTTATTAAAGATACTAAAATTAATTAATAAAATAAGTATATTTTTAATAAATAATTAATTTTAATTAAAGACAAAAAATAAAGAAATTAATTATAAGAAAAGTATTATTGTGGAAATTTTTGTGCATTTTATAAACAAGAAATATCCACAAACCATTAGAAAAGTTAAACAACTTTTATGGAATGCCAGGTTTAAATAACAGAGACGAATTATTTTAATAATTACATGGCCACTTCGACAAATGAAGACATTTACATCAGTCGCCAAACCGCAGCGAGAACGCAGATGGTTGGAACAAAAGAAATTTATACTGTAGTCAAACAATGCAACTTTCTGATAGTTTTAAACTCAAATTTAACAGCACTTGATACCAGTGATGTCGAGTGTATTTTATTATATGACACCATTGATAATCGTCCAGTGCCTTATGTTCATTGTCCACCAATAAAATATAAAATTCAAGAAATGGAAGAACATATACTTACTGTTGAATGCAAATTAACTGTGTTATCGAGTCAACACGAAGATTCTCTTTTTAAGGTGAAGGTTATTTTAAAGAAAGAAGGAAGAGAAATCGCGACACTAATATCCTGCTCGATAAAATGCACCTCCAAACTCGAGTCAAAGAAAAAACCTAAATTTGACTCATTGAAATCGTTTGTTTTGTCGACTTTTTGTCGCAAAGATTTTTATATTTTTGTTAATTTAATTTTGAGAAATTAAAAAACTGCGACAAAATTGATAAATAGGAACAACGAGAAGCGGATACGACCGTCAAAAATAGTGGGGTCCAACTCCAACTCATCTACTCCGACATCCGAGTCAAGTATAACCACACAATCCCTTCTTAATACAAACACTATACTTATGGATGAGATCAGAAAGAATTTAAATAAAGGATATAATTTCCCTTCCTTTGAAATCGGGTTTACTAAATTCATTCAATTATCTGGACTGATAGAAAGACCATTCTTGCGACAGTATTACATCGATAGTATAAGAGCTATGAGTGGCAATTTGATCTGTGGGCTTGACGAAATCACAAGCGTTCTTGGTTTGTTTATTGAGAATCATATTTCATAATACTTACAAAAAGGAAACACACCACACCAAAGTTACTCAAATCCAATAAATCCACAAATTAGATTTGATATCCCACAGAACCAACCACTGCGACAAACACAATTCTGCATGGCACAAGATTTACCTAACACAATGAATACTCCGTTTATGAACTAGCCATTTGCATAGACAATATAATTTGATTATAGCTTTTCAGTTCCAAGTTCTTACATCAAATTTTTGTTTATATTTGAATTATAAATTATTAATTATACTTTATTATAGTTTGTTAATAGAAACTTTTAATAATTAATTGGTTATTATATATTTGCAACTAACAAATTAAATTTATTAATTATTAATTATTAATTATTAATTATTAATTATTAATTATTAATTATTAATTATTAATTATTAATTATTAATTATTAATTATTAATTATTAATTATTAATTATTAATTATTAATTATTAATTATTAATATTTATTTAATAATAATTTATTAAATTATCATAATATTATATGAATTATATTATTTTTTTAAGTTTCAGTTAAATTAGATTTTTTACACTGATTTATTTTCATTTAAGTTCCCGAAATATTTCGGAAATGATCACAAAAATAAATGCAATTCATCTTTTATTTTTAATTTAAATCATCATTTTTTGGGGTAAAACAGTTTTATTAAATGAAAAATCTTAAAAACAAATTTATTAAGATCGGCGTCAAAAAAAGGAATACTGTTTTGAATAAAATTAGTATCTTCTAATATTTCAACTATAATTCGAACTAGTAAATATTTTTATATGTCTTTTTTAGACTTTCAAAGTTTTTTCAGAAACTCCTGATTTCGTGGTGAACTTTCCTTTATCAAAAATTTATCACCAAATCTCAAAGTGTTATTATTCAACTCAAAGAACAATAACATCCCATTCATTATATAATAAGCTGATAATTATTTTGGTACAAAAACAATATTGGTTTAAACTGATTTAACAAATCAGGAAAAGACTCGTAATTATTATATAATTATTCTTTATTATAATCGATTAAATACTTGGCATCAATCACTTTGGATTTTTTTAACACCATTCGAAATGGCTTCTGTTTGATTTTGGCTTTAAAAAAATGGGGAGTATTGAAATTTGCCATTTCTGTGCCGATAAAAATATATTGGTTTGTTTTTCATATGACCTGACGGGATGATATAAGAAAATCAAACTAATATTTTAGTACAGGCAATAATAACCTGATATTCCCGATAATTTAAAGAAACCCCCTTCAACTTTATTAATACTTTTTTATTTTTAATTATTTTTTTTATTTTTTAGTCTTGTAAACTCCAACAATTGTAATTAAAAAAAATGATAAAGTAATTAGAATTGTTGATTCTAATAATTTAGGCGTAAATAATTGATTAATAGAAATAATTAAAACTGTCACAATATCCCAAAAATTTGACATTCATTTTTTCATTGCACAATTCCTGGTTTTTCATTCAGAATATTTCTGTTGTTTTTGGCAAAAAAAAAATAACTTCTTTTTGGGAGGTTCTATTCTCGAAAAATAGCCCATATCAAGACTCACTTGACAAAAAAAGGTAGTTAAAACCAAGGTGTCATTGCATGGCTTTTACTTATAACTATTATCATATTTTTTTTTTAATTGTATTGAAATTGAATCACAACAAGCAGTTTTGGTGAAGACATAGGGTTTGAAGAAGGAAAACCAAACAACATCGGCGAACATGCCGATTGTTAAAACCGGGACGGATTGCCCAATTTAGTGGCGACCCAAAGCAAAAATTGTCGAAAAGAAAAAAGCCAAAACGAGGTGAAAGGGTTTCGGCAGTGGTATTAAAAAAAATGGAGAAATCTCGAAAAACGCAATGGATCGCGACTCGATGAGCGACGGGTACCAACCTGAGACGCACGAATTGTGTCTTTCGATGGCCAACAAAGACGATGAGACCATTTTCTCGCACATTTTAAAGCAATTTACTGGGATAGCTCAAGACTATAATACAATGTTTAAAGAAAAGATGGAAATTGTTGACTCGCACGTGAAAGAAATCGAAGCGTTGAAAGCGGAGATTGAAAAAGCCAAAGACGATTTGATGCTCAAAAAGATTAAGAACTGTGACTTACAATTGCAAATAGAAAATGATAAGAAGAAGGAAGAAGAACGGGAGATGGACGTCTTAGACTTCTTACGAGACTTTTCTAAGCACTCTTCGGAATACAAAAAAGAGACGAACGAGGAGAAGCAGAAAGTTTCGGTGAAACTCTCAAAATCACTGCCCGAGGAGGTGTTTGAATTCGCGAAGAAAAAATCGATGAAGTACAAAGAGAAGGAAAAAGCAAAGAAAGAAGAGAAGAAGGAAGAGAAGAAGTTTTCTGGATATTTCTCACCGAAGTTGGAGAAGTCCCATCTCTTCCCACATATCTTCTTCGACGAACATAGACTCTCAAGAAGAATGTCACACTCATTTAAGTCATATAAAGAAAAAAAATCCGAACAACAACAAGAGGAGAAAGATCAAGAGAAAGAGAAGGAAATGACGTTCACGTGTGTGCGGTCATTAACTCCAAATATTCGACCAAATATCAAATTGTAATTCATTTTGTTTTGTAGTTCAATTATTTCATCGAAATGGGAGTTGTTTGTGCGTTAATTAATGGGAGTTTTGGAGGACTTTAATTCAACGAAAACATTCGTGTTATTATAAAACTGTTTTGCATTTTGTCATCAAAAACTGGATGCCACATATAACTGTTTCACTTGTTTTGCTTGTTATTTATAGTTAATAATACTATTAAACTATTATTGTAATATGGTTTATTTTGATGAACATTTTGCTTCGTAAAACAATCCGATGGTTGTTAAAATCAATGAATTGTTTGAATTCATTAAACGTGTTAAACAAAATCCAGACTTTGTATTCCTTTTAAATCTTTTAGTTTTATACGAAGTATCAATTATTACACTCTCGGTGATTACATACAAACTCAGATTTTGGTTCTTTTAAAATTATTTGTTTGTCAACAAATAATTAATTTATATAACAAGGAAAATGATTTGGGCACTGTTATTATTATGAAGTTATTACATCTAATACAATAATAATAAGTATTAGAACAATTTCTGTATTATTAATTATTAAAAAATTATTTATTTAAAACACTATAAAACACTTGTAATAATTGTTAATAAAAATAATTATTAAAATCATTCTAAAAATAAGAATAAAAAACATTTCTAAAAAAAATTGTTATACCAAACAATTCAAAAAATGGTAATTTTGTTAAACTAATTTCTAAAGACAAAACAATTCCTATATTCAATAATAAAAATAAACTATATATATGTATTCAAATTTTTGGAAAATAATGCATATATATAGCAAAAAATTCGAATAGATAAAACAATAGTAAAAAAACTAATAAGAAGTGATTTCTTGGATGAACTGAAATTTCCAGTGGATGTGGAAAATTAGCAGGATTTTAATTGTTGTTGTGTCAAGTCTTGTAACACTGATGTCCTTAGTCATATTGGGTGTCACCATTTTTGCGATTGTTCACTACAAAAACAGATACACCTTTGTCCCATGGAACATTATGGTCATGACAATATTAACTGGAATTACTGGGGCTATAACTTTCATTACTGGACTTGTATCGATCACTGGCGGTATTCTTCAACGCAAGATCTTCACGATGGCTGTTTGTCCTTTTTTATTATTTAATTATAATTACTTAACTATTATTCAAGTGTCTTTTTGAGTGTATACTTACCCATAGACCGTTGTCATGCTGATATTCTCCACAGCTATCGTCACGTTCATCGGGCTTTACTCCCTTTCTGGAGTGATTTCGACAGAAAAAACATTAGAGCGTGGGTGGAGCGAAATGGGCACTGACGAGGACAAGATCAGACAATTCGAAGAAGTGGTTTGTATTTGTTTACTATACAACAACTATAATATAACTATAAACAAACTCTACCAACTTTGACGTATTAATGTCCAGTGGGGGTGCCACAACTTCAACGAAAAGATACCTGTTGTCAATGTGACTGAAACTTCCATCTCTTCGAACGACTTGCCGTATTGCTCTGAAGTCCTTAAAACACCATTTTTGCGATATAGTGGGGTGATGCTGGGACTTTCTCTGATTGTCTATTTTTTGTTGATTGGCATGCAAATCATCGTCAGTTTCCACGTCTCTAAAGACGACAAGCCCGCAAAACTCGGCTTTGAACCGATTGATAAGGAACTTGGAACGGTTCCTTTCCAACAAGAGACTCCTCAAAATCAGTAATTTGTTCAGACTTCGAGTTGGATGACAATTTCTATAAATTATAATAAATAACCTAATTATAATATCATTTGTCTTTGGAGGTATCTTTCAACATTATGTGAGAAATGAACTTCAAAAACTGAACTGCAATAATCAAAAGCATTAGATGGAGTACTCCTTTCTCCTCCAATTTTTTGTTGCTCTTATCGTTGTTGTGTCATTTATATTTGTCATATTCTTGGTGTTCACCTTCCACTATTTGGAACGCGTGTTAATGAATTTGGTGAGTTTTATGATCATACTTGTGTGCGCTCTTGTCACGTGTTTTCTGATTGTTTTAAACACGTTTGAGTACTCAGTGAATTATCCATTGTTACCCGCAACGGATCACTTAAACCTCTCTTCAATCATTATTGGTATCATCTTCACGGGAGTCTATTGCGTCGTCGTCCCCTTTTCCGTGATCATCTTAAACGACAAACACGCCGTGATCAACGCTATTAGTGTGACTTTGCAGATAACGGCATTTTCCGTCTTAGTCTTTATATTAGCACCAATTGTTATAACAATGGAAGTTGAGAACAACGACGGGTTTTCAATTGAATCCATTTTTGTCAACTTGGACCCGACTGCTCAAATCAGTTTGAACAAATTGTATGTCAAAGATGATAACAACGTCATCGAATGGCTGATCTCAGGCACGTGTGCGATTTTTATATGTCTGGTCTTCTGCGGGCGAGTGATATTAGTGTATTATGGCGGGTATGGGACGGCATCCACTGGTATAGAAATGATCCGTGGGACGATATTTAGTGAGATGTCGCCATACCAGCGCAACGAGAAGTTGTATCTCTCAGACTATTTAAATGCTCCCCAACACAGTACTACTCAATTTAAAGAGTACACTAAATTGAAGTTAGAATTGTATCAGAAAAAGTACGACGCATTACATTTACCAAAGACACGAGCTTATATAGTGATGATGATATTTAGAATCATATTTGGCGTATTAGCTATATTGTCATCAGCTACATACGTTGTGTGTATTATAGTCAGTTTGTATGGAGATATCTTATATAGTCAATGTGGCTGGAAATGTGGGTTCATTCCTCAGACGTCGGGGAAGATCCTCCCCTTTGAAAAGATGCTTGATGTGATCAATGGAGATAACTTGTTTGTGTTGCGATTCATCATTCTGTTACTTCTTAATATGTATTCGGCGTTCACTGTGTTTCTTGGAGCTCGGCAGTTGTTCACACGATACCCAGGCGTGTCTAAATTTGTATTAAAAGCTAGAAAAACACTACCTGGTTCTGTGGTGTTAATAGCATCATTCATATGCTTGTCGTCTGTTGGATTTGTGATGCAAATAATATCGATTATGCCTAATGTTTTAATGTATGGATCACAACTGGACTCCTCTGGCATGAGATGTACTATGATGTCCATTGGTCCTTGTGAACCCACTGGAGTATCAAAGATGCTCTTCAAAATTATTGCAACAATTCCGTATGTCGGGCTTGTTATTTATTTGTCGAACATTTTCTACTTCTTCACAACAATTCTCCACGTTATAGAAGAAGTCGTTTTACTTACAAAGACTCTGTTCACAAAAACAGAAAAGTTGTTAAAAGCAAATTGATTGTTCAAATTATAGTATTAAGTTATTAATAATATAATTAGTAATCCTTTTATTATTGATAATTAGCTTAATAACTAATATGATATTAGTTATTATAATATTAGTTTATTATACTATTAATAACTAAATATATTAATCATGTTTGATAAGGCGTTCATTTAAATTAGTTCAACTTACTAAGAAGAGCAAAGACTAAGTCTAAAAGCTTATTTCCAGACTCTATTTCTATTGTCTCTTGTGGAGTGTGGACGTCTTTGCAAGTTGGACCTATAGAAATTGACTCCAACTTCATATTGGGATATTGATTCAAAACTATTGAATTCTCAAGACCAGCATGAATAGCCATCACTTTCATATCCTGCCCATACAACTCTTTGTACGTCTTCTTAGTCTCTTCAACCAACTTCGAAGCAACAGCAGCAGGCCAACCTCCAATGTCTGGAGTTGGTACTTCAATGACATACTTGTGGAATTTGGCCAAGATCTCAATTGACTGGACAACTTCAGCAAGGTGGTTGTTGTCTGCACTTCTCGATAGTGTGCATATGAACGTTTTATCATCATCGATCTTACCTATAGACAACGAGTTCGAAGTTTCGACCAAGTCTGGCACATCGTCTGAAAACTTGATAACTCCATGTGGAATGTCTTTGAGTAAATACAAGAAGTTCACGGAGTCTGTAAGAGTCAGTGCATTCATTGTCACATTCTGTGTTACTTTAATGTCGAGTTTGGGACCTTCTTCGTTCTCTGCGCCTTTATATAAGGTGCAGAGGGCGGTGTGATACTCCTTTGCTTTCTTCATGTATTCTTCACCATTTGGAAGTATCAGACTCATCACACCTTTCATGGGGATGGCATTGTCTGTATGTCCAGCACTGAATTGGACCAATTTGATGTCTTGCTGAATTGCATTCGTCTGCAACACTAACGCGACTAACCATTTTAAAGCACTTGCACGCTGTTTATGGATCTCTCCACCTGAATGCCCACCAACAAAATTGTCGACTTTGATCTCTACTAAGTCGCCAGTAGCACACGTTCGAGTGATTTGATGTGTCATGTTACGTTGTGCACATCCAGCAGATGACACACATAACTCGCCCCAATCTTCTGAGTCGACGTTAATCAAGTATTTAGCCGATTCAAACAACTCGCCCTCTTTTAATTCAATAGCACCCAATAACCCCGGCTCTTCATCAGTCGTGAACAAACACTCGACTTTGGGATGAAGAAAAGTGTCGTGCAATTCCATCACAGAAAATAACGACGCCATTCCAGCACCATCATCGGCCCCTAAAGTCGTCCCATCCGCGCATAGCACTTTGTCTTTGAACAACACTGTTATCGGTGTTGTAGTAAAGTCAAAGTCTTTGCCTTCAATAACACTTGCTACCATATCCATATGTGCTTGGAGAATAACAGCAGGCGCGGCTTCATATCCTTTTGAACTTGGGATATGGACACAGACATTATTAGACTTGTCTCTGCAAGCCTCTAAATGGAGGGACTTGGCTTGGGAAAGCACCCAATCCGAAAATGGAAGGCAATGATAACTCGGACGAGGTATCTCACTTAAACGCAAAAACCATTTCCAGTAGACGCGCTCCGGAATCGTTGAGCATTTTGTGAGTATAGAGGTATACACCTCGTCATTGTGTGCGATGGTAAAGTATCCCGTCATCTTCTTTTGAGTAATTGGAAGTTCTCAAATCTCAATTGTCTCACTCAGAAGTTAGAACATTCACATTAAGAAAAATCATTTTATTTAGTTATTAATAATATACTTATAATATTATTGATTTTATTATTAACATACTAAATGAATATCAACTTCTTTTTTATCCGATTATTATGTTTTTTGTATAGTTTTTTAATATAATAATTAAAGTAATATAATAAATCGAACACTTTATTAAGAAATGGCATTTAACTAGTTTGTATTTATAGTATTTTTATAATACATAATACCTGCAAATAGAATTCTGGATGAAAACTAAATGTTTGACGAGAAAAATCAAACAAGAACAAAACTAAAAAATCATGTTGCTAGTCTATCTTCTATTTGCAACGCAATCGAGTGCGTACATCAATTCGAACACAAGAACATTAAGAACAACAAGGAACTTTTTATTCTCATTCAGTATAGGCAATGAAGGCCTTTTAAGCATTGCGACAACGAACACCAATATGACAACGCCAGTGTATCTTGGACTTTGTGAAAGAGGGAAAGACTACACAGTGATGCCGACTGCGACTGACCGAGAAAAGTGTGAAAGACTTAAAAGTGTCTGTGATATATGTTTGTTGGATATTTATAGACAAGAATGGGAGTTAATGTGTAGACTCGTTTGAGAATAATAAGCCACAAGTCATCCCACATAGTGGAGTGTATGACTTTGCATTGTTGTCGTGTAACATGTCACATGTATTCACGTTTGCATATCAAATTCATGTCACCAATGGGAAGAGTGAGTTACCAATGAACCAAATAGGATCACCACAACTGTATTTGGCGCTCTTAGTCGCGTTCTCGTTATTGGCGATTGGGTATAGTGTGTGGTGGTTTTATCACAAACAACACTTCCAACAAGTTCACGCAGTGCTTTTCGTCGTGTTGGTGATCTATGTGATGAGGTGTTTATTCTCTAGTGTGTATTATACAACATACAACGGCACTGGCCTACCAAACAATTACTTCTTCTATCCAACTGCAATTCTACACGCATTCACAGACTATACCCCACTCGTGTTGTGTTGTTTGGTAACAATGGGGTTTGGCGTGATCTTTCGTTCTCTTCTCAACAAACAGACGCAGCCATTTGTTGTGATTTTACTTGTTTATCTTGTTGTCTCGATGTTCTCCCACGTCTTCAAAGACATCAGACTGATGGTTTCTTTGATTGGACTCTTTTTCATTCTGCCGATCACAGGGAAGTTCGTCGCGATTAACAAACACTACCTGACGTTATATATTCTGTCCGACACCGTTCCCATCACATCAGTCGATATGCTCAAGTCGAAGATCACAATTGTGCAGATGTGTTACTTCCTCGTGTTTTTAAGACTAGTGCTCATCACACTCTTTGACTTCACACAAGAACTCTCGATATCGAACAAACCATTTGTCTCAACCGTTTTCTTTGAAATCATGTTATTGCTTGTGACAGTGACTACAGTCTATTTACTTCGACCAAGACCCGACGTGTTCAGTGATATCGAGTTGTTGGAAACGATTGCACCACCGCCACAACCACGTCGACATTACGAAGTGATGAAGGACTTGGAGCAAAAAGTGGACTCTGCACAGATCCTGTTCTTCACATTTCCAACATCAACAACATTTCAAGACCAAGACACTGCGCCGATAGGAATTGCGTATGCGCAGTAAGAGATAGTACTAATGTATTTCTGTTCCTTTTTAGTTACATGTATTCCAAACGTTCGAAGGGATTTCAAGTGTTACAAATAAATTAAAAGTCGTCCCAGGCGGACCCTGTTTTGTGTGTGTTTTGAGGAGTTAAAGGATCTTCTTGAACGAATAGAAAGTGGTCTGTCTCTTCCTTTTTGTTTTGTGTTTCTTTTTTGAGTAAAGCAGCGAATGAAATTGATGGTTTAGTCTTTAAAAGTGTTGGTGTGAGAGTGTGATGATCCGTAGAAGCCTTTTGTGTCTCCTTTTTTGAGTTGTTTTTCTTGTCTTCAATTTTCGAAATTTGATGTGTCGATTGTTTGATTGGTTTTGCTTCACTCTTTGTTGGTTCTTTTGTTATGTGTTCTTCAAATAAGTCCATCAAATCGTCGATATCATAATCATCATCTTTTGGACTTTGGACTTTAAGTTTGCAGTGGGTGGGTTTTACTTTACTTTTTGATGAATTTGAGGTGTTAAAAAGTCCGAGTAAGTTGTCGACATCTTTTGGTGCAATTGGTGGTTTTGTATCTTTCAAAGTGATTGGTTCGATCTTTTCTTTTCGAATTAATTTACTTCTTTTTTCGATTTGAAGTGGCGTTGTTGGATGGATTAACCCGCCATCGTCTGTTTCTGGTTCATTAAATTTTTCCCATAGGGAAGGGGTGGATTTTTTTTCTTCGAATAATTCGCTGCTATTATATTCAGTTTCATTTTCGAGTTCATTCTGCGCCATCAAATATTGCTCGCCTTTTTCCCGTGTTTCTTGTTCTTCTTTTGTTATTCGCTCGGAGTTGTATTTGCCACAAAGAAGTCGAAGGTCTTTGGCTTGGTTGGAAATGCCAAAGATGTGCCGATACGACTGCTTTGCCCCACACATTTTACACGCAAATTTCTTTGTTTTGTTTTTGATGTGGACTTGAAAGGAACAACACTCAAAACACTGGAGGAGGACAAACTCTTGTGGCATTCAAATTTGTTTTATAAAATGTTTTTTTTATCAGTTTATTTTTTTTCTAAGAATTGGTAATAGTATTTTAATGGCAAATTATAATACAAAATGGTATTTACCAAATGGCTAAAAATTAACCAAATTTATAGTAAAAATAAGACATTTATGCTTTTGTCATACATATTTATACTGTCTGTCCAAAGATCTTTATTTCTTATAAAGATAAATTTAAGTTGTATTTATCATATTATTTGTACTATTGTTTTGTTTTATTAATTTTACTAAAATAATTAAAACATAAAAATAAATAATTACCATGACAATTAATTTGTCGTTTCTTTTCATTAAGGGCATGACAATTATTGCTCTTTTTACCGATTTTTTAATTCTTTTTTTAATAAAAATTATTTAAAATTTTCTTAAACAAAATGAATAAAAATTTAAAGAAAAATCAAAAAAACAATTTGAATTGTTTTAAGTTTTTTTTTTCAATTTTTTACAATGAAATACTGTTCACCTCCATTTGTCATTATTTTCATCTAAAATATTGTCAAAATCTTTTTTCATAAGAAAAAATGCTACGTGGAAACAAACTTATTCGAATTAATCGACTTTTGAGGAATTGAAATTAACTAAAATATAATTACTTTAGGTATAGATTAATAAAATGTTTATTATACTTATAGTATATTAAATCTGTTTAAAATAAAGAAATTATAATAAGTGATAAACCAATATTAAAAAAGTTTATTTTTTTACCACAATAAAAAATGGGAAAAACATTTCTTTTTAACTATTATTATACTATTTATAAATAATTAATAGTTAGTTTAAAATAAAATTTGATAATATAAAAATATTTTCACCAAAACGGTGGAATGCCGACTTATTTGAATCTCTCGAATTTGTATACATTTTCGGACAGACAGTTGTACTCCACAGTTAAAAATACTAATAGTATTTTTGTTATTAATAAAACTAAAAAGCAATCACTCTTTTAACACGGAGAAAAACTCGAATTTCAGATGGGTTGTTGTGCCTTAGTGAAGCGAGCCGCTATCGGTGCCATAATTGGGATCATTTTGACGGTCATTGCGATCATCTTGATCTTCCCGTTTGTCGCTGTTTCCTTTGTTTATTCAAAGGATTTGAAAGACTACAACACATGTATCTCTGATTATACTCTTGAAGACATGGATATCTATCACTTTGTCTATGAGTCGGGCTATTGGTTCGCTTTGTTGAATGTCGTCTTTTTGGCGGGTGTCGCCATCATGACGATTTTATCATTCATTCCATGTGTTGGGTGTATTGGATGGTTTGTTTTATTAATTAATATATTATAATGAATAGTATTCGAGTTTATTGGAATTCTATTCTATATTTTAATTACTTTTTACTATATATTAATAAGAAGGATTATTACATGCCCAGCCGCTTGTGGATGCATCCCATTCATTGTCATCGGATCGTTGTGCTTGGTTTGGGGAACAGGAATGTCTGTTGACACATGGCAGAACCAACAGAAGTATTGCTTTGAAAAGACGTACAACTGTTGCTTCAATGAAACCGGGTGTGTTGTCCCAGACTGGTCTGATTACTCCGAAAGTTCAAATCAACCAGAGAAACAACTCACAGAAGAAGCTTCACAAAGTTCGAGTGGAATGGTTCTCTGTGGTGAAAAGCCAATGGAAGATAACGACTTCTCTGTCACGTTAATTGCAGTATCTTTGATTTGCGGTGGATTCTTCATGGCGTGCTATCCCACAATCACTGGTTCAACTTCAAGCAGCGAGATTAAGACTGGAAAGAAAAAAGAGTACGAAGCTCTTGGATAAAGTTCTTTTTGTTAGCCTTTTTTTTATTAATTAATAGAAGTATTAATAAACTATTTTTAGTTAACAATAACTGTATCAAATGACTCAAGTTTGCATTTTCATCTTTTTAAATAAAACCATTTTTTAGCTGTTTTAGTTAATAATTTAACTGTAATTTGTTAATTAAATTGTATCTTGCATTTTTTTTGTGGTTTTTATATTATTATTATATAATAATTATTTACTATAATTATATAATTTTGAATTCGACTAATTAACATAAGCAATTTATAAATAACAATTAAGAATTATTATTTAGTGTTAATATGATTTCTATTATGAATAGCAAACCAGATAGTCGAAAAAAAGTCTTAAAAATACTTTTTACACAACAAACTGTAATAATAACTGCGTTAAATTAGTAATTATAATAAAACTATTTAATAATTAAAATAATTAATTAATATAAAAACAATTAACATGTTATTTTTATATTTTATATGAGAATTAACGAGTTATTTATTAATGTAATAATCATTCTGAATATTAGTATATATTAATTTACTATTAATATAATAATAGTATAAAGAACGCAATTTAATATCGAAACACTCAGGTTATTATAATAATAATGTTAATTAAAAAATGATGTTAATTGTTGTTACGAAATAGAACACCAATAAAGATAACTGTAACATGTTACATCTTATAAAGTTTGTGTTCTAAACTATTCGATGTGGTTGAAGCATTATTTTGTAGTGGTATTAGTGTTTTTCAAAACATAATAAACTTCGGTGAAAGACTCATGTTTTTAAAATAAGAAGTCAGATATCTTTGATTTTGCCGCCATATGCCCAATATATTACAACTTTGTATCAACTCGAAATTACAAAACCCAACACATGCAATCTAAAGCTGAAACATACAACAGTCCGCACGTAATTGCAAACAACGACACATATCTTTATTTACACTGTTGTGCAGTGGAATTGGTTCGCCAACTCAATTGGACCATTATAATAGCACCAAAGCAGAGAAAGACTTCGAAAAAGACAAATACATTGGACTACTATAGAATTACTAACATCTATGACTCTCAGGGAGCTACTGTCTATGATGAGAAAAATCCCATTCCACTTCAAAACGAAACAGTTATTGGCTCATCTTTTGAAGATTCTTCAATAAAAACTAATGCAGCTTCAAGGAAAAGAACAAAGAAAAACGACAAGAAGAACGTTCCGATACTTTTGCAAACAATGAACGAGCAACTGAAGAAAACAAACGACAAAAACCAAAAATGCAAAACGACCAAAAAATCCGTATCTTCTGTTTCTCGAGAAAGACTGAACTATATTTACTCTACTGAAAATGGTGATACAAATCCAATCAAATGTTATAAAGATGAAATTAATAGAAGAGGGTATAAACTATACTTAAAGTTACGTGACTTGTTCAAAAACACTGAGCGAAATATTCCCAGTGTTATGCTCTACAAAGATAGGGATCTCCCTGATAAAGATATGAAATATACTCCTCTTCCATTGTCTAAGGTTGATGCATATGACTTTAATCCTGAAGCTGATGGTGTCAAATCAAACACAAATTCATATGAGAGAAATACCCTTGAATATACTCCAGAAATCGAACCAGGTGACACTCAATCATCTCCACCTTTTCTTGATTACACTAGTGAAAACACTCCAACGACACAACAAGTTGTGTTTCAAAATGTAGAACCGTTTACACAAGACTGGGAATTGAATTTTGTCAAGACTCAAGGCTCTATCCCTTATTACACATTTGAAAATATGGAGATCCCAGACTTTGAAATTATAAATAGATCAAAATACTTTTTAATAACTGCAAACAAATATATATGGTACACTGACCATGATTATAATGTTTTAAATTGGAAGGTTTATTCCCAAAATGGACAACTCTATGCTACCAATGGGGAATATTACTTCTCATTCGTGTTTACCAATCTATGGTAATCCGTTAATATTCTTGTGCTTTGCACTACGCTTTGTTACTGCGTTAAGTGACTTTGTTTATATATTTAGTTTGATAGGATAAAAAGAATAGTTTTATAATTAGACAATTATAGTTGATAATGTAGTTTTATATTTTTAATAATAAATAACTATAAGATTATTATATTACTATTACTTGTATTTGAACTAATACATAAACTATTATAATAATAAAGATCACAAAGAATGCAATAACATTCAAAGCAATTTCTACTTGTCTTTTGTTAAGTCTTTAAAGTGTTTATATATTCAATATTGGCTGTGATTTCTAGTGCAAAGGTTATAAGATCTGTTGCGTATTTGTTAGTTGATAACAAAAATGGCGTTCTTTCTAAGATGTTTGAAAAAATTTGTCCAGATTAATCGAGAAGTTTTGTGATGGTGAAAAACTGTGAACTTATTTGAATCAAATCTTCATAAGAATACACTCTGTAAAGGTATTTTTCTATACAGTATGGTATATTTATATATAAAGTATAGTTTTTAAGAAGGCACAAAAAAAGACTCACAAATTTTTTTCAACAACACAAATAGTAATTGAAAAAAAAGATTAAATTCATAATGAAAAAAAGGACAAAAAAATGAAAAAAAAACAAGAAGGTAAAAATGAGATGGTAGATTGAGATGGTCGAAATGAAAAGTGAAAGTGAATTATTTAAGGCTGGAAATTGTAACTGAAAAACAAAGATGACAAAAGAGTATCTGAGCAAAACAGTCAAGATCACAATCAATGAAGACGATTGCTTGGGGTCTGAATGTTCAGCTTGTTGTGCTGCTTGTCCAGTCCAAGTGTATGAAATGGTAAATGATAAGGCAAAAGCAACTAATGTATGTGCCTGTTGTATGACTTTATCCTGTGTTGGAGTATGTCCAAACTCATGCATAGAAGTGGTTTCGATATAATAATACACTTTTTGTTATATTGTTT